CCTGGCTGCAGAGGGGCCAGCGGGACCGGAGGCACGATCTCATGTCTGCGGCGGGACAGAGGAGCAGGCTGGGCAGCAAGCGCAGAGTTAAAACGGTTACATGAATAATCGTTTTAACATCCCTAAAAAATACACAGGTATTTGCTTTGATTCATCATAGGGAGCTAGTGGGGACACAGGGACAGACAGAGGGATGCAGGGTTTACCCAGAGCTATGGAGTGGAGCCTACACACGCAGCATTCGGTCTTTTTCATAACTCCCCAAATCCAGGACTCCAAGGATTACATGAGACGTCTCAGCTCGCATTTAAAACACACTAAGTTCCTATCCCTCCAGGCTGCAGAGAAAAGTTTGAAAACTTGTACCCGGATGGCTCGGAAACCAGAATGCCAATAAAGGCCTTATTGTGGATTATTTTTAAAATCTTGTGATTTTTAAATCCACGGGGTTCAGTGTTGCCTCTAAGCTGAGTGCTTGGGCAGCCCTCCAGGAGCAATTCAAATGCTGCCCAGTTGATTAGCAGAGCGCACACTACTAGGTTCCTGTTTCTACTGGTGGTGCGCACCTGCATATGCCTCGGTGTGCACAACAAAATTTATTCTGCACACGGCTGGAAAAATGAGAGGGAACGCTTATGGGGGATGGGCAACACACCGCTGGAATTCCCCCATAGATCTGACTACCGTTTCTGGGGGAGGTAGACTAAGGGCAGTAGTGGGGGAACCTTTCCTGTCATTGTAGTGAGTGTCTATATCAGGGGTGGGCAATAATTTTTGAAGTAGCCCCGGGCCACCCTGGAAGAGGAGGGGTCTAAACAGGAAGGGGTGGAGCCTAAATGGGAAGTGGCAGGGCTACTCCACCCCCAGACCATAATTGGTCTGGGGGTGGGGAAGTCCCTTTGGCTCCCCTTCCCACTAGGCACCCATACCCTGGAAGAGGCTTGGCACGCTCCCCCATCTCCAGGCCAATGAAGGCCTGGGGGCGGAGGAGCGCGGAAAGCCTCCTCCGCTCTCCCCCCTGCCCTGCGAACAGCGCACGGCGCTTCGAAGTGCCACATGCTCCTGGTAGGGCGGGAGGAGGCTTTTCATGCTCCCCCGCCCTCAAGGCCCTAATTGGCCTGGGGACAGGAGAGCAGCAGGGCCTTCGCGGGCTGCATTCAACCGCTTGGTGGGCCAGACTGGCCTGCGGACGCCCTTTTGCCCACCCCTGGTCTATATGTAAGCGGGGGGAATGGTCCCGCTATTGTAAGATTGTCAGTGCTTTTCCAGAAATACTATGCTGCTCCCGTTCGGGCAAAAGTCTTTTTCCGAAAAACTTTTGCGCCAAAGGGCCAGTGTAGACAGCAGAGATTTGTTTTCCGCAAAAAAGCCCCGATGGCGAAAATGGTGATCGGGGCTTTTTTGCGGAAAAGCGCATCTAGATTGGCCATGGACACTTTTCCGCAAAAAGTGCTTTTGCGGAAAAGTGTCCTGTCAATCTAGATGCGCTTTTCCAAAAATGCTTTTAACGGAAAACTTTTCCGTTAAAGCATTTCCGGAAAATCATGCCAGTGTAGACGTAGCCTGAGTGTGGGGTGTAGTGATTGGAGACTGAGTTTGCCACAGAAAGATGACCTTAATGAGAGGACCAGTCAGTGAGAAAATGGTTATAGGAGAGAGAGTATAACATGAGACAAAAATAAAAGTGGAAAAGTAAAAATGAGTTAAAGAAGATCATGTGACACATTGCAGCGGACTTTTTAGTTTCTACCACATTTTTGTCATAGGAATGTAAGGATTCCTACACAGCAAGTGAAAGTAAGGATTCCTATACAGCAATTGTAGCATGGTTGGACATGCCTGTGCTAGCTTTTATCTAGCTAGCGTGAGTAGCAATAGTAGCATAGAAGTGGAGGCAGAGACTAACAATCCAAGTCTGTGCCCAGGATCTTGGGAGCACTTGTCCTCAGTAGCAACTATCCTGTACTATGCTATTCACATAGTACAGGATATGCTATTCACATAGCTGGAGTTGCATATCTTACATTGGCTTTCTCCCCATGTAGATTTGGCCTTAATGAACCATACAGATGTAGGAGAAAAACACGGAGTGTGTGTTATGAAAAGCTTAAATTGATAGTTGATCTGTCTTTAATCCACCAGAATTATCTTCCCTTCTTCCCCATATACCTTGAATACATTCTTATAATTAGTTCTGGAGAAACATGAATCAGCTTACCAGACTTATTACTAGTCCTGAAGAATTTGAAACTACTCATAACAGAAGAGGCTAAGTGCTTTGAGAGATAGGTAGCATTATTATTGTCTCCATTGTACGTGAGGAGATGAAGGGCTTAGCTTAGATTTTGTTATGAATTTTAGAAAATGTTATATAACAATGTCACCTTAAATAACATTCTCATAGCAAAAATGTTGGACTGAAGTGCTAGTGCAGAAATTGCCTTCAGCATCTTTGCAGTCCCCTGGATCTGGAGGCTGATCTGAGCCAGCCTGGATGGACTCCCCCAGGAGAGGCGCCCTGACGCGCATCCTGAATTCTGGTGGTGGCTGGAACTCACCCTGGCTGCCCGCGGCCCCTCTCCGGATGCGGTAACAAACACCCGCGATCTGCGCTGGGAGATGGCAGCTCCTTGCCCTCAGAGATGCCAGCGCGAGGGGGCTCCTCCCGGGGCCAGTCAAACTGGCATTAGGGTGGCTTTGTGCTGCCAAGTCAAGGCTCGGGGCCTGAGCTTGGGTTCTTTCAGGCCCGGCCCACAACATTTTGGCACCTGAGGCGGGGAGCTCAAATGACGCCCCCACGTCCCCTCGCTTGGGCCAAAACTCGGAAAGGTCTCAATTCTGCCTGCTCTACTCCTCTCCTGGCCCTGCTCTGCTCCCTACATATGCACCAGCAGCAGACACAATGTTCTACACTCTGGGTCCTAGTGGCGCTTCCCCACAGTCTGGCACCTGAGGCGACCGCCTCAGTTCGCCTCAGGGTAGAGCCAGCCCTGGGTTCTTTGCACTCGGGGGGCAATCCGGAGCCACTCCGCGGACGCCAGGGTGCACAGCGGGTAGTTCCGCCCTGTGCTATGGAGTCGTAGGGGCAGGTTCATCCAGTGTACCAGGATAAGGGGGTGACAGCAGGTGCACACAGCCTCCCAAGCGCTCTGTAATCAGCCCTGGGGCTGTAGCGTGGGAGCCAACGAATTGCCCCGTCGGGAGCCACACTCTACTTCCAGCCAGTGAGATGTTACCACTCCAAAAACTGCCACCCTCTGGAGCCCCCAGCCCTCCTGGCGTCGCTCGCCCTGCCGTCAGGTGTCCGCGCCAGCAGGAAAGCCAAAGGTGTTGACTTAGCACCGGCATCCCCACCTACAGGAAATGGGGCTGGGTTTACGAGGCGTCGTCTAGCACTTGACTGGCATGGAGCCCAGGGAAATTGATCAGCCTCATGGGTTAGCAATTACCATGTGTATTCAGGGAGCGTGTGGGGCAATCAAAGCACTTTGCAAGCAGCAATTAATTGTGCTCATTTGAGAGCTTGGCTTTGGCGTCATTACACCCATTTTACAGGCAGGGAAACTGAGGCACAAGTGCCGCTGGGGGATGAATCAGGAAGTGGGAACGTGCAGGGGAAAAACAGTGAGATCCACCCAACCATCTTGGCTTTAGGAACCATCCAAACCTAGGTCATTCGCCCTATTAGCAACATGAATATCAGTAGCATGCCGGCGCGCATTGCATTTCCTAGTGCCTTTCGTGGAGGCAGAGAGAGAGAGCCGGGGAGACAGATCTACCCCTCAGACCTGCCGGAGAGGGCTGGTTTCCAGGACAGGGGGGAGGCACAGAGACCGGGGAGTGGGAGAGGGGGAATCAGAGGATTTCATTTTCAGGGCCACTGCTCCATCATCATCAGAGCAAAAATTCACAACCAAAGATAGACACTTGTAAGAACTAACCCATCTGAAGCAATGACCTGGGTTCCTTTCTTATTATTGTGACCTGCATTCTGCCTGGCTCCCAGGGCCGTTCCTGCTCCCCATTGTACAAAGTAAACGGGTTAGCCAGACACCGGGTCCCCCCGAAGGAAGCCTTTCCTAGCCCTGGCTGTCAAAAATCAGGGGCTAAAGTAATTACTATTCTTGCTTATCCTGGTTTTACATCAGTGGATTCCACTGACTTCAGTGGAGTCACCCCCGATTTACACCAGAGGAGCCCCACTGTCTGAAGTGGAATCACTCCTCATTCACATGGGTTAAACCAGGGGTGGGGAATCTGTTTGGGTTGGGAGCCACTGACCCACACAAAAAACAGCCGGGGGCCACACACAAGTGAGAAGCAAAAAACCCCAACAAACCCCTCCCTGCTGCGGCTCCGACTGAGGAGGAGAAAGATGCTCCCTGCATTCCCCTCGCGCACCGGAGCCTGGGGGAGCCCGGGCTAGTAGATCTGTGCGCTCCAGCCATGCAGCAGGGCTGTGGGGGGGAAGTGGGGGGGTGGCTGGAGCACCAGACCCAGCCCCTCACTGCTGCGGGGGGAGCCCTGAGCCTCAGGGGCCGGATCCAGGCAAGCCAGGGGCTGCATCCAGCCTGGGGCGTTAGGTTCCCCACGCCTGGGTTAAACCTTCTATTGGCTGAAGTAGAGTCACTCCTGTTGTACGGCGGTAAAACCCCATTGACATAAGTGCAGTCACTCCTGATTTACATCAGCGGCGCCCCGCCGGCTGACGTGGACTCTCTCCTGGTGCACACCCGTTCCAGTGAGCTCACAAGCCGGCTCACGTCCTTCCCGCCATTTGGAAAGCGCCATTTGCTCTTGCCCCACTTTGATACGTGAGCGCAGAGTAAATAATCCAATATGAATCGCTCCACCTAATCCAGAACCACGGGGCTGAGCAGCCCTGCAGGGAGCAGCGACTTAATAGGCTGTAATTGATCCTCACAATTTAAAGGGAAATGTTCATCTCACACTGTTACCCCCCTCACTCTCACCCACACCCACCCACACCCACACCCTACCTTCCCACCAGCAGTAGCTCCCGCTCCTTGGCATTCCGCCGGAGCTTCCTCCAGATGTCCATGGTGAAGAGGGTGCTGCTGCTGTTGAACACTGAGGTGAGGGAGGACATCAGGGCAGCCATCATGACGGCAATCATTAACCCTCGCAGCCCTGGAGGAGAACAGAAGGACCCTCGGAGTTCAGGGCTCCTCTCAAAGGCGCCGTCAGGTTGACCTGAGGGGGCCTCGGCTCAGGCTGTGCAAGTTGACATGGTGAGGGCATGACAGAAGGGAGGTGGGCGCACTGGAGAGGGTCCAGCGGAGCATGTGGCTTACGAGGAGAGGCTGAGGGATTTGGGCTTGTTCGGTCTGCAGAAGAGAAGAGTGAGGGGGGCTTCCAGAGAGGATGGAGAGAGGCTGTGCTCAGTGGGGACAGATGGCAGAATGAGGAGAGATGGTCTCAGTGGGGGAGGTCTAAGTTGGATATTAGGAAAACCTATTTCCCTAGGAGGGTGGTGAAGCCCTGGGATGGGCTCCCAAGGGAGGGGGTGGAATCTCCATCCCTAGAGTTTTTAAATCCTGGATTAACAAAGCCCTGGCTGGGATGACTGAGTTGGGGTTGGTCCTGTTTTGGGCAGGGGGTTGGGCCAGGCCCAGCCCACAACATTTTGGCACCTGAGGCGGGGAGCTCAAATGACACTCCCATACCCCCTCGCTTGGGCCAAAACTTGGAAAGGTCTCAATTCTGCCTTCTTCCTGCTCTACTCCTCTCCTGGCCCTGCTCTGCTCCCTACATATGCACCAGCAGCAGACACAATGTTCTACACTCTGGGTCCTAGTGGAGCCCCCCGCACAGTCTGGCACCTGAGGCGGTCGCCTCAGTTCGCCTCATGGTAGGGCCGGCCCTGGGTTGGACTTGACCCCCTGACGTCTCTTCCATCCCTGGGATTCTGTGATTCTCTGACAGTGCCTCACGCAATGGGGGTCTGATCCCTGGGCCCTCTTGCGGAGACCGTCATGGAAATAACACCATGAATGCACTCTAAAAGCAACACACGCAGCCCCGCTGAAACGCAGCCAGCTCTGGGGGGGAGGCGGCAGACGGGTTAGCACTCTGCACAGCAGCAAGCGGCCCGTCTCTAGCGCTTACAGAAAGGGCCATGGTAGCATTCAGGTACAGACAGGAGTTGCCTTTTTCAGATGTCAGCTGGCCTAGTGGTTAGAGCAGGTTATTCTGCGCCAGGACACCACTAGTCTCAACAGCACCATTATCCAGCTGTGTGACTAGAGGTCTACACCTGAGCTTCCTTTACATAACCAGAGAAGCAAGGGACTATTACATACTGGCTATAGACGCCTGTTCCGGCCAATGTATCCATGCTGCGGAATGTCACCCAAGAGGGGTGGACAGGCTAACCTGCCCTCCTGCAGCACAGGACCTATGGGGCCAGGTATTATAAACCAGCTACTTGGAGCACAAAATCTCCTTGTCTACTGAGACTCAGTGTAACACAGGTGCAGTTGGAGGAAGAGAAAGGAACAGGCCCAGGGAGGGGGGCAAAGGGAGGGTAGACACAGACCTAGGCTATGGGTCTAGCTGTCGGGGGTTCCCCTAATTCCCAGCCTGGCTCGCCCCAAAGCAGAAGGGACCACTGACCTCCCTGCTAGAGGGGAGCCCATCCCCCCCACCATGCGTTGCCCTCTTGGGTTGGATCAGTGCTTATCTCAAAGGCCTGTGGCTTTTGGCAGCAGCAGTGGGACCAAACAGGGCTGGGATCCTTCTCATGAAGGACACCCAGGGAGGCCGGCAGGGTGACGCATGCAGCAGCTGTAATCTGGCACAGCCGGGCTAATCCCCCCGTTGTCACACTTTCCGCTTCCCCCATCAGAGCTCCCTCATGGGAAGCCCCACAGAGGTTTTGCTGTGGGCTCCGCTGAGCATGGCTGGGGGAACTCCCTCCCCGCCCCCTCCCATGCAAGACAACCAGCATGGCTCCGCTCTGCCCGCGCCACCACCCTGACTTACCACTGGGCATCAGTTCCACCACCAGCTTGGGGTAAGCGATGTTGGAGCAGCCCACCTCGGACCCACACGCTCGGAGGCACTCGTCCGGATCGACGCAGCTGACGGTGTCTGGAACGACCCAGAGAGAAGCAGCTTGATCCTGCCGGGAGGACCCGGCGCCAGAGCCGTCATAGGCAAAGTGTCTTTGGGAACGGGACCGAACCAGCCCCCTCCCCCCTTCCCCACCACTTTGGTCACTACTGGCCTTGGAACCAGAGGCTTAGTGGTACAAGAGAGGCAGCATGGCCTGGTGGTTAGAGGCACTAGCCTAGCGTAAAGCCTACAGACCTGGGCTGTCAGCAGGAGGGAATGAACCTGGGACCTTAGGAACCAAAGCTACATGCCTCTATCCCAGCAGTTCCCAACCTTTTCCAGATGGGGACCCATTTTGACAATTCAGGAAAACTTGGTGGCCCAAGGCAATTCAAAATCAAGAGGAGAAAGGAGGACAGAGCCACCTGGGGAGACACTTGGTGACCTCTATCCCATGAGCTAAAAGCCATCCAGTTCTCAGCTAAGGCTGCACTACTCTCCCTAGTGGGCTTGGTGCCTCTGGGTTACACTAGCTCAGTGTCTCTTAAACTTTTTAAGACCAAGGAACACAAAACAATATTTTTTTTTTTACGAGGAACACCAAAGATTTTTTTGTTAACTAAAAAAAAAAAAGTCATCTGCCTCTTTAAGGGCGGCCATTTTGAACTCTGTTGTTCTTTGCGGCATACCTCTGACTGCCTTGCGGCGCACTGGTGTACTGCGAAACACAGTTTAAGAAACACTGCATGGGGACCTAGAAGACCTGGGGATCACTTCCTTGCTCTGTCACAGATGTGTGACCATGGACAAGTCATTTAGCCTCACTGGGCCTCAGTTTCCCCCTCTGTACATAGGAATAATAGCCCTGCCCTGCCTCAGAGTGGCACTGCGAGGATGATTCCATGTCAGACTGGGGGGTACTTAGGTACTTTGGTTATGGAGGGGGCTGGGAGCAGATAGGGATCATTGACAGAAAGAGGTAATGGCCTATTCATTAGTTTTCTAAGCCATTCTGGTCCCAGGCTGGGGGTAGGTATCACTGGCTCTCCCAACCCATGTTAGCCTCACTCCGTCAGTTCTTTCCGATCAGTATTGCTGTTGTCGTGTCGTTCCAGGCCAGACGGGACCCTCAGCGAGGCCGACCTCCTGGGTCCCCGGCATCCACACCCTGAACCCATCCCCCAGCATGAGTCCAAAAGAAAATGACAACCCCCCACTGTCCTGCATCAAGACCATCCCTGTAGGGGCACCGATCTGGCATCGTAAAAACCACTGGGACAGACTCAGCAGGCAGCACTGGCGCTCCAATTATTTCAGGGTTTCCGTGGGCCCTAAGCCCTTTTTGATTGTCAGGGCAAGCCTAGCGCCGCACTGATAAATATCAGCGCATCCAGCTACTGAATCCTTTCAATAAAGGCAGGGAGTAGCCCATCTTCATTTCTGCCTCTCCTTGGCAATTCTCAGCCACTCCCCTGAGCTCACTCACTTGGAGAGTCACGCCCATGAGCGATTGATCTGGGCCTTTGGAGATGGGTGGGGCAGAGACAGGGTCTCCACCCTGGCAGCCCATGGCTGATTTTCCTAGGGAGCATTTAAAGAACTTGCCAAGAGGCTGTTTCCTGCGCCCCACGATACGCACATTCCTTGTACGGACTGGCCCCAAATATTCCCCACAGGGGCATAAGAACAGAATAATCTTCCTCGATTCCACTTGAGTCCTGTGTGGATCCCTTCCTGTGTTCCCTGTAAGCTGAGCACTTGGGCGGACACCCAGGAGAGATTCACATACCGCCCCGCTGTTTAGCAGTGCGCCCGCAGTTAGCAACATAGGTCTCTACCGGTGGTGCACATCTACACAAGTCTTGGTGCACAGAACAACATTTATTCTGCACACGGATGGAAAAAAATGAGCAGGAACATTGGTCCCCTCCAGGATGAATTTGGTCCGACGTGTTCAACGAAATACAGGGAGGTGGGAGAGTGAAGCCCATCGCAAACCCCTTTTGCCGTAGAACAGGGGTCAGAACGGAACCGAGCAAGCCTTCCCGTTTGCAGGAGAGCAGATTCCGAGCCAGATTCTGAGCTCACTACCCAGCTGAAGCCAGCAATCCGAGGTTAGGCAGCACGGGGGGGGCCAGGAGCCTGCCATTTGGAAAGCTGGTGTTCTATTCTGGGCTCTGATGTGGGCTCATGAGCAAGTTGCTGTATTGCTCGTTTCCTCATCTGTAAACAGCTGCTTTAATGAATGGCTAGAAAGGCCTCTGAGCTCCTTGAACAGATGACACTATAGAAGAGCAAAGTGACACGCTGGTATTGGTCCAGCTCTAGTAATGAAGCATCAACCACAATAAGGCTGTGCCCACTGGCTGCTTCATTCACCAATGTGAATTGCAAGCAGGCATTTCCGCAGTCTCATGCTAGCCCAAGATTTACAGACAGAGCCTTTCGGGGGCAGGGAGGCAAAGTGACTGGCTCATGGTCACACATCCTGCCAGTGGCGGAGCTAGGAACCGGCCCCAGCCCCCTGGTGTGTTGATGCTGCCTTTTGCAATTCCCAGTTTTGTTTCAGAGGAAGAGCTAATGACTAAGCAGAGTGGCTTGTGCTCTATATGACATCACCCTTTGCTCCTGCCTGCCTCGGGAGGTCTCCCGTTCGACAACTCTGCGAGTTTGCTGAAAGCCGAGTGGTTCACAACCCAGAGGTCCCAATGCCGGGCGCAGGGAAGGGAAGATTTGAGCTAACCAGGAAACGCAGCCCTGGCTGTCTCTCTCAGCTGCAGGCAGAGGAGGGCAAGTGGAAGTAGATCTGGGTGAGGACGAGGAAGGATTTAAGGGCCCAACCCTGAGGACTCACTGATAGAGCTCTCATTGATTTCAATAGGGTAGGGTCATGGCGAGTCTAGGGAGGGGAGGGCATTGTGTTCTGTGTCCCTGAAAGCTGACTGTGAGGATGGCCACTCAGGAGAGATTCAAATGCTGCCCAGCTGATTAGCAGAGCTGACAGCGTGTGTTTCTACTGGTGGTGCACATCTGCACATGCTTTGGTGCACGCGGCAAAATTTATTCCGCACATAGAGGGGGCATTGGTTGTGTCCACAGGGCTAGTGCACGGCCCAGCTTGTGTGAGCCCACACAGAACTAAAGGGGCTCTGTTGTCCTCCCTCGGGCTAGCCATGAGGCTGCTCCTGGGTCATCAATCCAGTGGAGGCAAAAGAAATAATAATTCCTGAGAACCAAACTCCTGAGCTGCAGCTGCCTGGCCCAGCCTGGCCATTCCCGTCCCAAACCAAGAGGCGCTGAGTGTGGCTGAGCGAGCGATCGCTCAGGGCAGCAGCACCGCAGCAGTGGGTGGAAGACAGCTGATTACAACGCTCATCTGGGCTGTACCAGCCAGGCAGGCCCCCGCCCTGGCTCTCCGCGGCCATGTGGGTGGCTAATCAAATCATCTTCCTAAGTAATCGGTGTGTGTCTGACACGCCCCTGGGCGTTCCGAGCCTTAACAAAGACAGGCCGATGCCAAACCGACTGCAGCCCGGAGCATCGGACTAGCTGGACAGCCAGACCACGGGGGCCTTTCAATGGGGGGGCAGGTTGAGCCCCACAGTTGCAGGCAGTGACTGAAACCAAACGTGGAGCCAGGCCCTCTGCTGATGCAAAATAGCACAGCCCCCTTGACTTCCAACCCACGTTCTCCACCAAAGCCGGGAAGGGCTCCACCCCCATTCTCACCCACGAGCATCTAAAGGAAAGTGTCCTGTCCCACACTGGCGTGTTTCGATACCCAACGAACAGGTTAGGAGGTGATCTGAGCAGCCAGCTGTAGAATTGGGCTCCAGACGTCTGTTGAACTTTCAAACAATCCCCTCCATGTTGTTCCTTCCAGGATTGCCAGGTTTTCACCAGGAGCATGGCAATTTAAAGGCGCGGCGACTTTTTTTTTTTTTTTTGCTCAACAAGTTTGGTCTCCTGGGTTTTTTTGCTCAACCAATTTTTTCCCGCCATGTTTGGATTTTTTTGTGAAAGTATCTGGCAACCCTAGGAGTACCCCATAACCATCCACAAAGCTTCCTCCTCCTCCACATCTCTCCTTTGCCAGGAAGCCTCCCAAACACTTGCTAGGTTGCTGGTCTCTACCTCACTGAGCAGTAGGGACTCTCTGATTCCTTGTACATCTCTCTGTCTGCCTGCGTCCACCAGCTGTCCCTTGTCTTAGACTGGAAGGGCTTTGGGGCAGCCTGGCAAATACAGCACAGCACAGTCCCGGTTCAAACTTGGGGCTTCTATGCGTAAGACCGAGAGGTGGGACCTCTGGAGCTTAGTGCATGAGCTTTGACTGCTTGAGCTAAAAGCCAGCTGGCTCTCGGCGAAGGCTGTAGAGCAAATTCATTGTGTCTCTCTGGAAGTGGTCTCAGAAGCACTCCCTGGATCAGTGAACCACAGCCAGCAGGTGTGTGAGTTACACGTGCACTACGGAAATACAAATAATTAAGAATAACACCATCAAATGCACCCTTGGTTAACTAACTCCATAGAAAAGAACAAGCAATCCTGTAGCACCTTTGGCCTGGTCTACCTACAGCGGAAAGTCGAATTAAGATACGTTAATTATGTAGCTGGAGCCCACTTATCTAAAATTGAGTTTTCGCGCCATCCACGCAGCGGGGAGGTTGACGGGAGTAGGCTTCCCTTACTCCTTGTGAGGAACAGGAATCCTGGCACCAACAGGGGTGCCTTCTGAGTTCGATTTAGTGGGTCTTTACAAGACCTGCTAAATCAATCCCCAGACGATGGACCGTGGCATTGTCGATCTTCCACATAGTGCGGACATGTCCTTAGAGACTAACAAATACATTCGATCATGAGTTCTCATGGGTAACACTCACTTCATCCCTTTACCCGTCGTACAATATATTTGTTAGAAGAGGGACGGGCAAGAGGCTGCCAGTGGGCCAGATCCGGTCTGCCAAGCCACCGGATCTGGCCTGCAGCCGCCTCACCGGAACCCTGAGGTAGAGAGCAGCTCACACTTTAAAAAGCCAGCTGTTCTCTGCTCTGGATGGCTGGGGAGGGAGGGGGGAGACTTTTCATGCTGTTCCCGCCTCAGCCAGGAGCAAAATAGCTCCGCTCCCATTGGCCAATCTTTCTGTTTCTGGCCAACAGGAGCTGAGAACTTTTGCTGGAAGCAGAAGCAATGCAGGAAGCTTTCTCCCTCCCTCTCCATCCCCCCTCCCCCTCATGCCCAGAGCAGAGTCACCTGGAGCAGTGAGCAGACAATCTGCCTCAGGTTTCTGCAGGTAAGTGCCTCCAGTCTCTGGCACCCCACCCCCTCTCGCCCTTCCAATTACCTTCTCCCAGGCCACAGCTCCCTCCCGGAGCCTGTACCCCCTCCTACACCTTTCCCCCAGGCCAGAATCTTCTCCTGCACCCATACCCCATTCCAGGCCCTGTACCCCAATCCCTTGCCCCAGGTCACCACCCAAACCCTCTGCACCCCCTTCACCCAGGTCACAACACCCTCCCAAACCTGGCACACCCTCCACGCAGAGCCGGCCCAAGCTACAGGCTGACCGGGCTACTGCCCGGGGCGCCCCATTGTAGGGGACTGCCGCGCATGTGCCAGGTGCACAGGGTGGGGCCACACATGCGCTGGGTGCCCAGAGCCCTAGGGCGCCGTGTGCCCAGGGGCGGGACCGCACATGCGCCGCACTCCCAGGGGCAGGACCACGCTCATTGTAGGGGGTGCCACGCAGGGCTGCCGGACCGGGCGGGGGCGGGGCCGTGCATGCGCCAGGCGCCTGGGGGCAGGGCCGCGCACGCGCCGCACTCCCAGGGACGGCGCTGCACTCCTGGGGCCCAGGGTGCACGAATGGCTCGAGCCAGCCCTGCCTGCAAGAGACCTTTCTCCAGGCCAAAATCCTCTCCTGCACCCATATCCCCTAGTGGATCATGCACTCCAAGGCTGTGTCTAGACTGGCCAGTTTTTCCGGAAAATCAGCTGCTTTTCTGGAAAAACTTGCCAGCTGTCTACACTGGCCGCTTGACTTTCCACAAAAGCTCTGACTTCCTGCTGTCAGAAATCAGTGCTTCTTGCAGAAATACTATGCTGCTCCCGTTCAGGCAAAAGTCCAAACGGCCAGTGTAGACAGCTCAGATTTGTTTTCCGCAAAAAAGCTCCGATCGCGAAAATGGCGATCGGGGCTTTTTTGCGCAAAAGCGCGTCTAGATTGGCACGGACGCTTTTCCACAAAAAGTGCTCGTGCAGAAAAGCGTCCGTGCCAATCTAGATGCTCTGTTCCGAAAATGCTTTTAACGGAAAACTTTTCCATTAAAAGCATTTCCGGAAAATCATGCCAGTCTAGACACAGCCCATATCCCTGCCCCAGACCACAGCCTCCTCCTTCACCCAAACTCCCTCTCACACCCCTCATCTTCTCCTGTACCCCAGTCTCCTATCTCAAGTTCCCTCCTGCACCCAACCTCCGTCCCAGACTGCACACCCCCTTCACAGAAGTGCGGCCCTTCACCACGTGTCAAAATCTCGGAGTGGCCCCCCATTAAAAACGATTGCCCGCCTCTGTGCTAGACTCTAAGGTGCCACCGGACTGCGTGTTGTTTTTAAAGTTACAGGCTCACACGGCGACCCCTCTGAGACGTCTTACCGCCAGATAGTACAGCACATTCAGGCTTGAAGCCACAGGCCAGATGCTCAGGGATTTTGCCAGATCTGCTTCACGCGAGTGACAATCGAAATGTGCACTTCTTCTCCTGTTGATAGTTCCTTCAAATAGGCCCTTTCCTGACAGCATGTGGTCCCTTTTTAGGTTTTATGCACGGATGGATCCTTGACTCTTCCCCTTAGCAGCTGGTCCAATAAAAGGCATTACAGCCTCTAACCTGTGAGCTGTATTCATTGCAATGTTTCCAACCCCACACCCCTGCTCCTTAAAAGTCTCTGCTCACGTACATGGATAGTCAATACAGCAAAAGAGCCACCGGGCCCCAATCTGACCTGATTTATGTGGGTGACGTACCAATGCACTCAAGTGGTGTTGTATACTCAATTGCAACAGCTTTAGACTCCACCCCTGACAAGAAACACAGGGCCCCGATTCAGTAAACTAGAGGTGGTCAACTTGTTACAGGCAAACAGCCAAAATAGTTGTGCATATAGCACAAAGAGCTAGAGAGGAAAAATTGTCGAGCCAAAAAAAAAAAGGACTGTCCCTTTAAGAAACACAATGAAAGGCTTTTTCGCCACATCAGGCTCCCGCCAGCTGCCACCATCTTGAAGACGCCATTCTGAATGGCCACGCCGGATGCCACTGGGAGCTGGGAGCTATTTTCAGGGGCGTGGGGGCAGCTTCGCGAGCTGCATTTTTGGGGGGAGGAGAGCTGCATGCGGCTCACGAGTCATCGGTTGGCCACGGCTGCAGTAAGCTATTTAAGCATGGGCCTATTTGAAAGCCCATGTGCAAGCCCATTAAAGGCCTTTATGTCCACATAAAAAAGGTTCGGTGCCAGTCCCAAAGTGTTCGTGGTGCCCGGCTGAGTCGGGGCTGCAAGGGAAACAGGGGGCCCATCACGACAACTCCGGCTACTTTATTGTCTTACGGTGGTTTTGTAGCAGCCACACTTTGTGTGTTAAGGTAGCATGAGAAGCCCTGTCTAAGATCAGTCTCTCTGTGCTAGGTGCAGTACAGAAAAAGGCCCTACACCAGAGAGTTTGCACTCCAACCACTGAATGCAGACTGAAAAGGCAAGTGAAAGGAAATAATTCCCCCCCTTGTTTACAGATCGCGAACTAGAGGCAGGATTTCCAGTCTTCTGCCCGAGGGGCAAGAAATTCTCATAGAACTGCTAAGGGAACTGACTGGGCAGCTCGTTACATGGGTGAGTTATTTGAAAGTGCTCACATGGGACACCCCAGATCCTCAAGCCACCACCATCCGGTTGGGTTCCTCACTGGCAGCCTGCCTAGATCAGAGCAGAAGGGGCTGGTGTGTTTTCCCAGGGGCGCAGCGCATCTAAACGCCCCATTCCTTGACCACATGGCCATTGCCACCGGTGGTACCCTGTAAAAGCATCGGCCCCATGTCCCACGCTCTATGGGGGGGGCAGATGTGGACAGCATGAGGCAAGGTGAGCTCCTCACTTCTGAATCTAGAATCTTTGCAGCTCGGGGGACCCGGGGCGACAGGATGTTTTGTCCTAGAACATGGAGCAAAATGACTGACACCGCTGTGCACCCAAATCGACTTCTCTGGCATTGATGGAGTCACATCAGCCTCAGAGTGACCCCTGGAATAATGCTGGATTTACATTGCTGTGAGAACTTGACCGGGATTCTGAAACCCCTTAGAGTCAGCTAAATTCAATGGGATTGGTGTGTGAGACAGTTCCGGTTTGTCATTGTCTATTAACGAAGTCTGGGTCTTTTTTTCACATAACTTTGCTGCCGCAAGTTCTGGGAAGCACATGAACTTGTAGCCCCTGTTTGAGGCGGGCCCACCAAAGAAGATGATAGTCTACTATAGCGACTAGCTCGGGGAGGTGCTCTGTTAGCTCTGTTTACAAGGACTCATCCTGTTCACCCTGGGTGCCAGGGCTGCTGTCAGGGTTGGCAGTGGTTAACAGCAGGGGTTAACATGCACAGCCAATCAGAAGATGGGGCGGGTGGGCTCCAGAGAAAAAATGGATTTTTTTTTCATTATTTTTTAAATGAAACCCCAAAAGCATTTGCCAACTAGGGATGTTAAATTGCGGGTAATTGTGGAAACACGTCACGACTGAAAAAGTCACACGGTTACATGCACTCACAGCCAGCTCCCCGAGAGCCGGTGAACACGGCTCCTGGTGAGCCGGCTGCCCCCCTCTCCCTGTTGCTGCCTCTGATACAGGAGCAGGAGTGTGAGCAGACCCAGACATGTCCCTTCTCCTTTGCCTTGGGGAAGGCGAGATCTAGGACGTAGCAAAAGCAGGAGCTGTGCCATGCAGCTGAATCAGCTTCCTGCTCACCCCCCCTCTTGCCCAGGGCTGGCTTTGCAGGCATGTGTGCACTGCATTGCTGAAGGAGTTAACGGCTCAGGCTGCAGATATGAGGAATGTTTGAAGACAGCAGCATGTGATTGCAGGTGGGGCAGGGCGGAGCTATGAATCATTCTTCCCCCCCCCCTCTTCTTTTCCCTTCTTGCTGTTACCTGTCCATCTCCACACTGCCTACCGGCAAGAGCCCAGCACAAATCCAGCTAGCAGCCCCCGGGAACGCTGGAGAAACTGACCAGGAAGCAACAGGCAGGATTTTGCAGCAGTGAAACTGATCAGCTTGATCCCATTCGGGGAATTTCAGATCCAGAAAGGGACAGCGAAAGAGAGGAAGAATCAGACTGAGAAATCCCCCACCCCCAGCTGCTGCCCACCCGATTTCCTGGATTTTTTTAAAACTGTTATTTTCTTTTGTATTTTATTTTACTTTCTATGCTCACTGCAGGACAGGGCAGGCGGTGAGAAGGAAGTGGCCCTGGTGCTAGAGAATTCAAAGGGATTGTGCCATTATCACAGCGCCCGTGCGTGTGAGCGTCGCCTCTCACCCGGCTTACGGAACCGGAAAGCTGGGAGCCAGGAGCTGAATTGGTTTTCCTCAGGTTTACTCTGGCACGGAGGCCACCTGGGCTGGGCAGAGCCGATGAGTAAAGGAGAAACGTGGCGTGAGTGGAAATAACCAAGGACGCAGGAGACCTGAGGCAGAGCGAGTGAGCGCTTTGTGGAGAAACAGCCAGCCGGAGCAGGGCGAGCGGGACCCTCTGCTGTGTCTAGCACAGGAAGGAGAAAAAAACCCATCCTTAAGTTATTTAAAAACTGGGAAATAATTCACTTCTTATTTATTGTCGGGGGGTAGCGTTCGCTGGTGTCGAAGGCTCCCTTCAGTGACTGACTCTGTGTGCCAGGGGCCATGGCTCTCTCTCAGGTGCAGTGTCTGGACAACAGCCACGTCAACTGGCGATCCAGCGAGTCCAAGCCGGAGTTCTTCTACAGCGAGGAGCAGCGGCTGGCCCTGGAAGCGCTGGTCTCCAAGGGGCCAGAGGCCTTCTACGAGGTCCTCAAGAAAGAGAACATTCGGGACTTCCTCTCCGAGCTGGAGCTCAAAAAGATCACGGAGTCGGTGGAAACATACGACCCGGGGTCGGAGTACATCCCGCGCCCCGGGGGCGGGGACAGCGACGGGGACTGCGCCAGCCAAGGGGGCCCGGGAGAGCTGGCGCCCTCCTTGGAGTACTGGCCCCAGCGATCCGACCGCTCCATCCCGCAGCTGGACCTGGGCTGGCCCGAGTCCGTGGCCTACCGGGGGGTCACCAGGGCCATGGTGTACATGCAGCCGCCCATCGACGGGCAGGCGCACATCAAGGAGGTGGTGAGGAAGATGATCGTCCAGGCTCAGAAGGTGAGGTGCACGTGGGTCGGTAGGGCGGGCGGGAGCTCACTTAGCTATCCAGAGTGGGGCCAGATCCCAAAGTCCTCCTCAGCCAGGCCCCCCTCCCTTCCCTCCAAGGGAGGCCTGGCTGAGTGGAGGGGCCTGCCCAAATGGATCATCCGTTCTTCCTCATTATGCTTCACACCCCTGCTTATGGCTCCGATACTGCCGCCGGCGAGGAAATGAGTAAGAAGCCTGATCTGGCTTCCTCTGGAACCGATGGGCCCCTCTCCACTGACTTCCCAGGAGCTGGTCGGGGCCCTCGGGAATGCAGAGGTTGCAGGGCCCAGGAAACACCAACTAGCTGAGCTGCGTCCTCGCCCCAAGCCCAAGGGATCAGCTTTCCTTGGGTGATTATCTCCAGGACACCAGGTAACTGTGCCTGCAGAGCACAAGAGGCCCAGGTCAGCCCTGGTGCGATCAGGAGGGATTAATAAGACTGGGACTTTTCAGCTTGGAAAAGAGACGGCTAAGGGGGCGGGGGGTGAGAGAGGGCTATAAAATCCTGGCTATTGTGGAGAACATAAATAAGGAAAAGTTATTAATTGCTCCCATAACACAAGGACTAGGGGTCCCCACATGAAATTAATCAGGAGCAGGTTTAAGACAAGCAAAAGGAAGTATTTCTTCCCACATTGCACAACCTGTGGAACTCCTTGCCAGAGGATGTTGTGAAGACCAGGACTTTAACAGGATTCAAAAAAGAGCTAGATAAGTTCATGGAGGACAGGTCCATCAATGGCGATTAGCCAGGCTGGGCAGAGATGACGTCCCTAGCCTCTGTCAGAAGCTGGGAATGGGTGACGGGACGGACAGCAGGGCTGACCGCCACCACGAGGAGGGGCCTAGCTCTGCCTCAGAGAGGGCGGGGCTGATGGTGGAAAGGGTGGGGCCTAGGGCAGTCAACCCTTAGCGCCACCGAGACTGCAGCGCTGGCCTCTCCCCAGCTCTGAAAGCCACTCTGAGCGGCGCTCCAGCGCTCCCGTGGCAGTTCAAAGGGGCCCGGGGCCCCTGCTGCCGCAGTGCAGTGGGCCCCTGTGCAGTTCCCCGCCGTCGGCGGGCCTGGGGGGGGGTCACTTGATGGTTCCCTGTTCTGGTCACTCCCTCTGGGGCCCCTGGCGTTGGTCAGAGGACGGGACACTGGGCTAGCTGGACCTAGGGTCTGACCCAGTCTGGCCGTTCCGATGCCCAGCTGAAGGCTGCTGGTATTGCACCCGCTTGCCTTCGCCAGTCTTTCTGCCAGTCCTCGTCACCTGCACGAGGCCAAGGGCGGATGCAGAACCAATTCGCGGTTTGATCACAACCGACCGGCGCCCCCGGCCACCGTTCAGGGAGCTTCGACGCGGGTCCCAGCCCCGCTTGTGTCCAGCCTTTGCAGAAACGAGAGCGCGCCGCGGCGCTGCGTCTCCGCCTTTCACCGCGCTCCATCGTCATCTCCAGAGAGACAGAGCCACCGTACGCCGGGGGGAGGGGCAGGGAATGGCCAGTGGAGAAGTCGTCACCTGGAGATGGAGGACTGGCCCAGGCCGGGACTTTCCCCGGAGGGGGGTTGGGATGGAAGCAGGTAGAACAGGTATGTCTAAGGAAACGAGGGCTGTGTATTGAGGGCCTCCCGTGATCAGCCTGCGGAAGGACCCTCCAAATGAATGCTGGGACTGAGCAGGCGCTGAGCCTCGTGTCCTACCACGTATGGAGACTTCGGCTCTGCCCCTGCCTGGCTGCATGGCTCCAGGCTCCTCACAGAGCCTGCGCTTTCAACCGTGACCCCAGCGTTCGGTGCCACCCCACCGGGGGTAATGGATTTGCATGACTGCGCCGCGTTCCCCTCTCCAGCGAGAGCTGGGGCAGGGGCTTTGTCTCCTCGGAAAAGTAGGTCCAGGTGTCTCCGGGGCGGCCCCCAAATCAGTGCCCACTTTGACAGATATTGGGCTTGGCCTGTCCCTGCCTCAGTGTCCCCCTGGCTCCTCCTCAACCCCCTCCCCCCGGCCTTTGGGCTGGGGTGACAGAGGAGGGCCATGGAAGTGTGGAAGCTCTTCCAGCTGAGATGCGCACACAGAGCCTTCTCCACACGCCACGCCCCACAGGCCACAGGGATCAGCAACTGCAGAGGGTGCATCCCCGTGTCCTGACGGGACCTTGTCCCGAGCGTTTGCCTGCCCCCCAGCTTGTCTCTCCCAATCAGGACAGGGAGTCTGGGAGCTCCTCTGAAACCTTAGAGCCCAACGGGAATAGCAGCCAATCTCCCTCCAGCTATAACCCGCAGCGAGAGCCTCTTCCAGGCCTCATGGCCAGAGGGCTGGGTATTTGGAGGGCGGGTTTCCAGCAGGCCCGGTAACAAGCAGAGAACATGCTTGGAGAACAAGTCTGGACCCGGTCAGAGCACGGGCTGGTGGGCGCGGCCGGGGCCTCGCTCCCTCAGACGTGCCGCGATCAGTCCACGCCGCCAGCCAAACGGCATCGGAAGCCGGCTGAGAGGGGAGCCATCTTTGAACCGGCTCAGGACGCGCTTCGGGTAGCAGGGCGGCTTTGCGCTGGAGCGGGCCTCAGCCTGCTTGGCATGTGGGGAAGGACGTCGCTTCGACCTTCCCCAGGCTAAGGGAGCCTGTTTCTCCCTCGCAGGCTTCTCCTCCCCGGCTGTGGG